CTGAGTTTAAGTTATGTGTCCCATCTTCTATGAGGGACAAAATTGTCTTTCTCGTAACTCAAGTTTTATGAATAAAAGTTAAGTGGGTCGGCTAGGAGAGTGATTTTTTATATTCTCTCTTCTAGTCTGGCCGAACACTCTTCTCCTCTCCTCTTCTTCTTTCTCTTTTCTTTCTTCTTTCTTCTTCTCTACTTTGACCTAGAATCAACTAGGGTTTATTCACAGCCACAACACTACTTTTGGAGAAATTGACCCTCAAACCAGTTACCCAGTTGAAAAATTAATCACCCTCTTAGCATTGGTTATGTTGTCCAGAGATGCTTCCAAAAATAAGATAATGTCATCTGCAAACTGTAGATGTGAGACATGGAGAGTATCTCTTCCCACTTCAAAATCTTTTACCAAGTTAAGACTTTTAGCTTTGTCAAAAAGCTGACTGAAGATATCCATCACCAATGTGAAAAGAAAGGGGGATAGGGGACAACCTTGGGCAATGAAAATTTTGCCTTTCATCCATCTGTATGCAACAAATTCATCTTTTTATTCTTTTAAAAAATGAAAGAAAGGAATAATTTTGAACAATGAAAAATTGACCTTTCATCATGTAGGTGGCTGCTTGGAAGGATAATGATGGAGACTGGTATGAAACTGGGCTACATATATTTTGTGAGTTTGATTTCTTAGACTTATTGCAGTTTCTCATTTCTAAGATGCATATTTTTCTTTGGTGAATACATCTTATTTATGGTTTTGTTTTGATTGTTTCTCATTTTACAGATCCAGATAATATATTCATACATTGGTTGACATGGTTTGACAGCTTGCATGGACCCCTGACATGGGAATAAACCCAATACCAGCCCAAGCCTAATCCAGTCATATACTGACTTTTAAATGACTTAGTTCATTAAATTCATTTTTGACAATTGTTTCCTAGTTGAGAACATCTTTTGGTATCTATATCAGTTATTTGTCAACAATGCTAGAATTCTAATGTTTAGGTTTCAAAAAGATGTTGCATATTCAGCTATATGGTAGTCACTATTTATAGGGGTGTCTCAATTTTTGTATTTAAGGAGAGAAGGGAAAGTCTTTCTATATAGAAAGTACAAACATAAAGTTTCAGTCCATCTACAATATTTACATCAACCCCTAGTCGTTAGAAAAGTTGGAGAAGTTACTACCAAAAAAGAAAAAAAGAAAAAGAAAATTTAGAGAAGTTTAGGCCACTTAAGTTGGCAGGAATGGAGGCACAAAAGGAGATACCTACTCCACGTCTCCACCTTCCCTTTTACAACTAATTCTTCATTTTATTTTCCTTCAACAATCTTATTATTCCCCTCTCTTCAATTGCTCAAAGAGATTGTAAATGGGGCAAATTCTATGTGAAATCCATTTGTTTGCTGAAACCCCTTGCAATCTTAGAGTCAAAAATACCATATCACCCAGGATTACCCATTGCCTTCAAAGGAGTTTTATAAAGTTAGCCCATATTGCATGAATGGATGGAATTGATTACTTTTAGGGCATTTGAATTACAAATAATTTCTCTCTAGTTTATTTATTCTGCCAATAGCTAGTAGGATTGTTGACCATGTGATTCTGTTTGAATATTTATGTATCTTTGTTATAGAACTAAAAATGTGTGGCAAATTTTAGTATTCCTTAGACTTCATGGTTTTTCCTGTTACAAACATGTTACTTCTGAGACTCGAGGAATGATTATGGATCTAAGTGGAATTCAAGGTCTTCTTTTTTTTTTTTCCTTTTACTGCTTGGGTCATAAAGTAGGGGTCTGTAATGATTCAGAAAATTACAAAACAAGTCTTCAAATGTAGATAGGGATTGATTTTCGGCGATCTATTGATTTTGGCTAAAGATCTTATATTATATCTATTTTTCTATAGAAAAAAAGGGTTTGAAACCTTGTTTATACTTATAGTATATCCTTTAAAAAATCTTAAATAATGCATTTTAATGATGTATAACTATTGGGGCAAGAAACTCCTTTTCTATAAGAAAAAGAAGACATTTGTTGTTGTGAAAAGTGAATAGATGGGGAAAATAACAATCACCATCTTGTTTGCAAATTTGAAAAACCTACTAAAAAGAAAGGTGAAACCCCATATTTTGGGCTTACCTCCTTTATTTTATTTTATATTTTTTTCAAACAAAACAAAAAGATGTCATGGAAGTTTGATTTGCTAAGTCCTATTAAGGTCTTGAGGTCAAGAGAATTTACTCATTTGATGCTTTTTATGTGGTTTACTTACCCCTCTAGTTGACTTGTATCAGTTGAAACTCATTGGTGATTCTATTTTAAATATTCAAGTTAAATCAGAGGGAGAGAGAGAGAGAGAGAGAGAGAGAGAATAAGGGTATACTTATATACTTTAAGTTTAAAGAATACAGGCAGACAAAAATACCACAACTACATTAAGTGAAGAACAAATGAAAGAAGGAAAATAAGAATGAGACCCTACAGTTTTCTACACTCCCCCTCAACTGGAGTATAGATGTATATCATGCTCACCTTGTCACGTCCACTAAGAAATTTTGTTTTTCTTCTACATCTTAGTAAGAAAGTAAGTTGGTAAATGGGAATCAACGTTTTATTTGATGGAAGTGCCTGTCCACCTTAATCTGTTTAGTTTAGTCAAAGTGAAGTTGGTTATATGCCATGTTGATGGCTGCCTTGTTGTTGCAAAACAATCTCACAGGACCATCTACTGTCACTATAAGTTCTGCCAACAATAGCTTCAGTCATAACAATTTTAATCTATTTGTGAGCCATAGCTTGGAACTCGGTTCATCACTCTATCCGGAAATGACAGATTGCTTCTTGCTTTTGCTTATCTGTGGTAACTAAATTTCCATCAATTAAATTTCAGTATCTGAAACTTGATCTGTCATCAATAACACCTGCCCAGGCTGCATCTGTGTATGTTTGCACTTGAAAGTAACCACAATTACAAACAGAAGCCTTCTTTCTAGTGAGGACTCTGGATACCTTAGTACTGTTTCATCTGCCTCTAGATCTTCAACTTGTCTGGGCTCAGTTGAGCATTTGTTAAAATTTGAATGGTCCTGACCAGAGGGCCCAAACCCAATACTGTGTAAATTCTTCAAGTCGAGTTTCCTGACTTGCACCCTAGCTGCCTCAGGATGAGAAATCCTTGTTATATGCATGTATTGACTAATGGCACCTGCGTTCTTGTTGAATGGTGCTCTATATTTTTCTTTTGTTGTGTTTGAGTAGGACTTTAATATAGTCTTCTTAAATACTGATAAAAAAATGTCTTCTTGAAAGGTGTATGGGGCTGATTATATTTTCTGTTTTTCTTTGTTTTCTTGAGTTTATTATATTTTAACTGTGTTACAAGTTAATTTAAATAGTGGAAGGAGGCTGCATGATTCATATTCTTTTCTTCCCTCAAAACCAATCTCTCTCTTACTTCTCTCTTATTCAAGTGATATAAGCTATATCAAGCCTGACCAACAAAAGATATATGAGCCTCCCAGTCAGTCCTTGAAATTTTATTAGTGTGCACCGATATGAAATATTTTCCCAATAATAGTTCTTTTCACTTGTTTCTTGGTAGTCCTATTTAGTGTTCTTTGCAGATTTGCTTGTTCCTGATTTATCTTTGATTAGAAATTTAATCCATAATGAAAATTATTTTTTCTGCTTGAAGTTGGAGCATATCCAAACATGCAAAACTTGTTTGGAGAACTTGGTATTAATGATCGGTTGCAATGGAAGGAGCATTCTATGATTTTTGCTATGCCAAGCAAACCAGGGGAGTTCAGCCGATTTGATTTCCCTGAAGTTCTTCCTGCACCCTTAAACGGTATGCTATTTTATTAATCTTTTGGAAGAATCAATCTATATATCTCGTCATTTACAGAGGAATTTACTTTTTGTTATTAAACCAATTCAGCAACTCAAATTGCACAATCACCTCACAGAGGAAACGGAGGAAGGGGAATGGGGTTCAAGGGAGAGGATAAATGGAGTAGATCTATAAAAATTAAGACCATACAAGGAGGTTTGAGAGTGTTGTCTATAGCAGGGATCAGAGTTTAAGGGTACTGTTTTTGTTTTGTTTTTCAGTGGTGGGTTACTCTAAGGGGATGGTTGAGAGGATTTCATTCTTTAATGTTCTTATTTGAGTGTGGTTTTGGGTTAGATTCTTCTGCCATATCCCTTTTTGTTATTTCTTTTGTCCTTCCCATCTCTTCATTGATATTTCATTTCTTCCTTTGATCTTTAATAAAATTATTTTTTTATCAATTGGGAAAAAGAGTTACACAGTTGTGGTAATTAGACAACTAGGTATCAGAATTTGGATTTTCTTCACATGGATTAAATCTCCAATTTCTGATGGTTGAATATTAATGATTTATTTATAGTTACATTATCCACCTTGCGATAGCAGTTGTGTTTACATTATATGTTCAATTTTCTGTTATGATTGTTAGTTGTGATTTGTTATGCCAGTGATACTGAACATTATCCACTACTGACACGACCTATATTTCTATTGCTATGCATTTCTTTTTTCATTCTTTTTGTTTTTTTTCATGCACCTCCCCATGTTTGGAAAATTGCTCATGGTCTTTCTTCCTTCCTGCTGCATCCATTACCAACTATGGCTACTATGGCTCTGCAGAGAGCTATATAACTTCCATGATTTTGAATACTTATATAAGACTATATATGTTCCTATAATGTACACATCTTCTTTGTTAGTGTACTTTTTTTTCTAAATTTCTGATCTTCATTCCAATTCTTTTTCCATGGTCCATGCAGCTAGGTCAAGGTGTTGAATAAATGGGGGCAATGTTCACATTGATGCCTTAATTCTTTTGTGCAAAAATCTTATGCATGAATCTTTTCTGCAAAACATCTTACAATCTATAATATGATTCACAATTTGAATCATGCATCCCAAGGGTTTTGATTTGAATCTTATGTTTGAATCCATTTCTACAAAATCTTATGATTTTTATTTGAATCCTATAATTTGTTTTATGAATCATGGATGTGCACCTAGAGGTTGGGATGTTGGAGTGTCTCGGCGAGCTACTTTGAACTCTCCGTGGAAGGCTATTCACAATATCCTTCCCCATTTCCTTAGCCTAATCAGGTATGATGTGTGTACTGGAGATCGGGTTCTTTTCTTGGAATACACTTGGATCGGTAACAACATTCTTAAGGACCTTTTTCCAGCTTTGTACTCCCTATCCCTCTTTAAAAATGAACCCATTGAACGTTTTGTGTATTGTAGAGAAGATGGGCCGAATGGCCCATCGGCTGTTATTCTATGTTATATTTATGTTCTTCTCTGTAATGGGCCTTATTCTGGGCCCATAYTCTTTTATGTTGTGTTTTTTGTAATTTCTTGCCCAACCAAGGGCCTCTCTTGTAATTATTCAAGAATTAACTTAATAAAATTGTATTAGAGTGTTAGAGGGAGGGTTAGTTCAAAACTCCCATCCTCTAACACTCCTTGCCGCCAGCTCTCTCTCTCTCTTATCTTCTCATTTGTTTGTTTTCTGGTTTTCATCTAATCTTACACAGTCCCATATTTCAAAGGGCTGTTTTCAACTTGGTATTAGAGCAGGCCTGAGCTTGGCGTGGCCCTCATGTGGGTATAGTCCAGCCGACTGCATGAAGGTGATCTTGGGCTGAAAGTTTAGACTCATTCGCCTGATTCTTGGAGGTTATTGGAGGGTGCCCAAGGCTCTATTCGCTTGGAGAATAGTTCGGTGACCAGGAAGAATCAGAGAGAAGGACTGTTCGGCCTGATTTGAAGCTCAAATCAGAGATTTATACAACTGTAAGTTGCTTCAGTTATTACTGGGTTGTTTTTCTGATTTGTGGGAACTGTTAAAGTGCTCGAAACCCCTCTAAGTCTGCTTTGCTGTTTGGCTGTTGTTGGCCTGATTTAACTCCGAGATTTTTGGGTTAGTTTCTCATCTTGTTGGACTGCCAAGTGGCCGAAACTTGTTTGGACTCAGTGGTAGGAGTTTCTACTTCAGTTCAGTTGCTTCTTGGACCTATACAGACTGCTCTTGAAGTGGTTCTTAGTAGTTAATAGTGGGGTGTTCACTACTGCATACATAGTGTTTGTAAAAAGGCCTCTTAAGTACTGTGGACTGTGTTTTGCTCTCTTGAGGGCACTTATTGTTGGGAACCTAGAATCCCTAACTAGAAAGGAACTTCAATCGGGTACATAGTGTTTGGAGGTCTGCTGGTTGTCTCTTGAAGGCTGAATCATGCCTTCTTCTTCTTGAAAGAGCTGCCACCGAACTTGATTCTCACAGCTGTCAGGTCTGAACTGGCCTTGTGGGTGGCTGCGTTTGTTGTTGATTTAATTCAATCTRAGTTCAACAATCAGTACACTAGTGGAAGCTTACCAAAACCTTAATTGAAGCCTTTACATGATGGACTTCTCAGATGTTGAGAGTAAGAGCGTTGCTGAATATGGACATGCTTTGGGAACCCTAGCTGATTCTTTATTGACTGTAACCACAGTTAAACTGGATGGAATCAACTACTTGGCATGGTCACAATCTGTGAAAATTCATATTTGTAGTAGAGGAAAGTGGGAGTTTATCTCCGGGAGCAAGAAGGCTCCCCCAGAGGATGATCCCTCTTATGAGAAATGGATGCAAGAGAACTATACCGTTATTGGGAGGCTCGTGAATTCAATGCAGCCACAGATTAGTCAACATTATCTCTGGATGAACTCAGCTAAGGAAATCTGGGACAGTGTTGCARAAACCTACTCCCAGAAACTAAATGTAGCCAGAGCATATAAACTAAGGAGTGATGTGAAGAATTTAAGATAGGGGGAGAAATCCCTTGCGGTATATTTCTCAACCTTGAAATCTCTGTGGAAAGAAATTGATCTGATAGAGGCTGTGACATGGGATACTTCCAATGATGCAGAAACTTATAGGAAATTGGTTGAAAGAAACAGGGTTTTTGAGTTCCTAACTAGACTAAACCCTGAATATGACATCACAAAACAAAATATTTTGTCCAAGGAAAGTGTCTCATTATCACAAGCATATGCTTTGGTCAGCAGTGAAGAGAGCAGAAGACTGGTACAGGTTCAAGGGGTTGGCACTAATGATCACTTTGCAAATATGGGGGTTAAACCCAAAGGAGTTATAGGGGCTCCTAGTGGCACTGGAAAGAAGGAGGTTGTCTGTGAATATTGCAAGAAGTCGAAGCACACCAAGGACAAGTGCTGGAAATCACATCCTGGTCTTGTTCCTGCTCGATTCCAAAAGAAAAATGATAGTAGAGAGACAGGGAGTGCAAATGCAGCCATGGGTATAGATGCTGAAGTTGAGTCTGCCTGTGCACAATTGGCGGCCATGAAAGTTTAGTATGAAAAGTTTGGGAAGATGATCAGTCATCTCGAAGGTGTAACTTCATCATCCAACCCTTCAAGAAGTCCAGCCACCTCTGCATTTGCTCACTCAGGTATAAGAGCTTCTGCTAACCATGCAACCACTTCAGGTAATCCTAAGACCCCTTGGATCATAGACTCAGGTGCTTCTGATTACATGACCAACCTTTCCACTTTGTTTGTTTCATATGATTTACTTCCTGGTCGTGACAAAATCACCTTAGCCGATGGCTCTCTTGCCTCTATTTCTGGCAAGGGAACTGTCAAGGCTACAAACTCCTTGCTCCTATATTCCACTCTTCATGTACCTAGATTAAATACCAATTTGTTATTTGTAAGTAGCTTAACCAAGTCATTAAATTGTTGTGTAACTTTTTTTCCTTCCCACTGTGTTTTTCAGGATCTGGAGTCTCAGAAGGTGATTGAGAGTGACCATGAAGCGAATGGAATATACTTGCTCGACACACCTGGACAATGCCTTGATCATCCTAAGAATGCTGCCTTTGGTTCTACCTCTTCAGAGTCTGTCAGTCGAATTATGTTGAGTCATTGTCATTTGGGTCATTTGCCTTTTTCTGCTTCAAGTCATCTATTCCCTGAATTGTTTAAGGGAATCAGTGTGTCCAGTCTTAATTGTGAATCGTGTTAGTTATCAAAGCATTGTAGAAACAATTACCCTTTGAGTAATAAAAGATCTTCTGTTCCTTTTAATATTGTGCACTCTGATGTGTAGGGGCCTTACCACTTATCTTCTATGGAGGGTTACAGATACTTCATCCTGTTTATTGATGATTTTTCTCGATTCACTTGGATATTCCTAATGAAATCTTGTGATGAAGTTCCAAGACTTGTGAGGCAATTTCATGAATTTGTTTTGACTCAGTTTGATACCAGGATTAAGATTTTCAGATCTGACAATGAAAAGAGTATTTTGAGAAGAGTTTATCCTTGTATCTCTCTGACATGGGGGTTATTCATCAAAGCTCCTGTGTTAGAACCCCTGAACAGAATGGAGTTGCTGAAAGGAAAAATAGGCATATTGTTGAAGTTGCAAGGAGCCTTTTGTTTGCCTCACATGTTCCCACAAGATTTTGGGGTGATG